TTATTCACTTTATAAATTCAATTTTTATTCAAATTATATATGTTTGAAACAAACCATTAATATAATACCTATGTACTTATTATATAATTTAAAGCATATTATATGTGCATGAATCAATATTGAATTTGGCTAATAACCTTCTAGTTATATCAGTTATACTATTCATTATTAGGCCATAAATTTCATTTTATACAGATATAGGATGACCTCAACAATGACTTATAAAATAGGGTCTTTCGATGCTCATAAACCATTACATACTGTGTGTACTGCCACTGATGCAGTCCAGTTGAATGTTAAATTTATGTAATAGTAATATTACAGAAGTTACATACCTAATCATAAGGTTGTGTAAATTGTCCACATTAAATAGATAGCTACCTAATTTTTTTTTTCAAAAATTCATTAGTACTCAATATTCAATTTTGACAAAAATCTAATATAACTCATTAAAATAGTTATAATTATAGGGACGGCTTGGCCATGTTCTATAAGATGCCTACCTTTCAAATTAAAAATTTAGTTTTACTACACTGCATATTGTCACCAGAAATTTATTTTAAATTTTAATGTTCTACTAAGAGATTTCCTATTATATTCTGTTCTTTGTTAGTTTTCAATTAATAGTGCCCAATAAACTATTTGCATCGCCTCATACAACCCAAAACCTCTGTACTAGTTTGAAATTCATTAATTGTTTAATATCAATAATACATTTTGTAAAATGCAATATTTTAACCAGAAAAAGTGAAAATGGAAACAGAATATGGCAAGTATATTATTATTATCGTTAAGATACCGTTTTTATTCAAATTAAAAATCTTATACAACCGAATGAAAGAGTTATAGCCTGGATATTTACCTCAGGCATATTTTATAATATATAACATTCTATTTTATACATTTAGTTTAAGAAATATACTAGTAAATAGTAGCATAGTAGCATTTTGTTAATGTCACTATTACATTTGAAAAATAATATTTTTTAAAACAGAAAATATAACTAATCCAGGTAATGGTAAATATAATATAACACAGTAGGAACATAGCAGATAACTCTATAGTCGTCATATAAAATATTATAGTTATTTATTATCGAACTAATTTTTATATAAATATTTATCCGCATATTTTAATATGAGTAACTTTTGTGAATTAAAAATTGAACAAACGTTATCAATCACTCATCACATAAGTTTTAATGTACCTAATACCTATACATTTTTATTGTTAAAACTATTATTCCATAATCACTTTTATAATAGTTTCACTTAATTATTCTAATGTCGTTAATATTTAATTTTTGTACCAAATATTTTTTTTTAAAACAGACGAAATACAAAAAGAAGAAATTGGCAAGTAAATTATTGTTCACTTTACAAACTATATTTTTATTCATATCAAAAAGGTTCGAAATAAACAATTAACAAAAGTAGGTACCTAATTATATCATCGGCTGCATATCTGTGTGAAACGTGGTCGGGTGAACGACCAGTTAAATATAAAATATACAGAGAGAGTCGTAAGACCCTATAGTTATAATTACCGTAGCCAGAGATAGATATGAAGATATTGGAATCTTAAATATATTTAAATAACTAAGATTCCATTTCAGTTATTACAAGAGGAAGTTATTTAGTGGAGGAAAGGTAGGAATTTGCCCCTGTATGATTTTAAAGGCAGCCACCATGGGCTGGTGACTGGTTGTTTTCATTTAACCTTTATTACATTTTATTAGGGACAAACATGCCTATTTTTAATATTTATAATGTTTTGAGATAATATTATAGTGTCTACTAATAGAATATTTTCACAATGATAAATTTCTAATTACTAAGTAATAGTTGAATACTTGTATTTTATTTATATTTAGACGCATGCGGGGACGAGCATGAAAGTTGGTATATGTCTATATATTATATCATTATATTATGTGTATGTGTGTGATTTTTTAAGGAAAAGGACCATTATGTTCATATGTTCATATGTGGTTGCAAGTGAAGAGACTAGTTTTTTTTTTGGGGGGGGGGGGGTCAAAACTATTGTCCACCTCTATTAAAAACTGAAATGACGAAACTGAGTTATTATTCAATATACAATATACATCGATATCAAGTTTATTTTTATTTTTAAATGTTTAATTATTACACATTTATAATAGTCTAAGTACCAATATATAACACAATAAAAGTGAATAATTTAAATTAGGTACTAATGTTACAATTTTTGTATTTAAGAAGAAAGCTTACCTACTTATTCAATAATATTTAATAATGTGCTTTAATGATTTCCTATTACATTCTATTCTTTGTTAGTTTTTAATTAATAATGCCTAATATACAATTTATATCTCCTCATACACCTCAAAACCTCTGTACTAGTATGCAGTTCATTAATTGTTTTCATATCAATAATACATTTGTAAAATACAATTTTTTTAACCAGAAAACCATAAACTAGAAATAGAACATGGCAAGTATATTATTTATTATTAACTTTATAAATACCGTTTTTATTCAAATTTTGTAGTTGTAACCAGCAAGGACAGCTCAGGAATATTTTTCAACATGACAACAGTGTAATTCATAAATTAAGTTTTTCCCCACATATTTTCATGTACATGAAGTTGCCCCCCCCCCCACTTTGTCCGAATGATTTCAAAATACCACCAAATAATTGCAAATCGAGTTTTGCCAACTGCAAATCATTTTTTATATTTTTTACGAATTTTTATATTTCTTAGCCAGTCCCCCTCCCCCACTTTGTCCATATCATTTCAAAATACCCTGTTAAATAATTGCAAACTAATTGCAACTAATTGCAAATCGAGTTAGGCTAATTGAAAATTATTTTTTATTTTTTTACGAATTTTTAAATTTTTTAGCCAACCACCGATCTATCTATTTGTTATCTAAGAAGACATATAAACTTACCTAGAAACAATTTATTTAAAACATATAAATATTTTTTTTAATGAAATTGTTATATCAGAACACTATCCAATTAGTACATAATATTACTAAATTACTGTATGCACCTATTAACTATCAGTTACTTAATGTTCAAGTAGGTAAAGAAATATATTTGTTATTTAAGTATAATACAAATTAGTTTTTATCTACCTACTCTAGATAAAAGTTAGATAATCTTTAGCTAATCTAGATAAATGTAAAATGAATTTATCTTTATCTGTAGCTAGAAAAATGTATATACAATTATCTGCATCTTATCTAAATATAGGTTTTCGTTATTTATTCTCAACACTGTATGTAACCACACAAATTATTTTTTTCCAGTGCCAATTAGTGCCTGTTAATTTTTAATATTACCATAAGTTGTTATTTTTATATAATATATAATAAGTTAGTAGTATGATTAGGTAAATAAATAAACTGCAAACAATATTTGGAGGACATTTCTCCAGCCCCCACCCCCCCCAATTTCGAAAATTTTCATCAAAACGCTACAAAGGGTTTTTAAGTCGTTTGTAAAGTTTTGTAAAACAAAAATTTTCGTTTGTAAAGAAAACCAAAAAAAGTTATGCCCAATTCAGGTTAGGGAGGGGGGCTGGCTGGATAAATGGATAAAACCCGTATTACATAAACCATGTGAAAAACTCAATGTTTTTACAATACACTTATATTTTACTATAATAATTTTGACATAGATACTATAAGATTTTTATTTTTAAAATCTTATATAATTTTTTTTTATGATAATACAAAGAAATTGCAAAGAGAAATGGTTTTTTTTTTTAAATTCTTATACATTTATTGACTAATAAATTATAATATATTATTATATATAACTCAAACTTTCGATTTTTTTTAAACTTGGCTTTTTATTATAATTACATTTTTTTAAAACTGGGTTTTATTCATATTATATTTTTCTAATAATATTTATTTATTTTATAAAGATTTTTTTCTTAAAAATAAAATAAAATTTAAATATACCATCTTATTTGAATAAACACTGTTATATCAATAAAACATTTAATATGAATAAAAAGCCAAGTTTCAGTAAATCTTATTCGAATAAAAATATAATACGAAAAATATTTTAAATGAATATAAAATTTAATTCGAATAAAAAAATGTCAAGTTAGATTTTTTTATTAAACTAGAATTTATAAAATTGATATTTGTTGTAATTGTGTAAGATTTTATATTTAATAAAAAAATTCTAATTTAAATTAAAAGCCTAGTTGAAACACTAAACAACAAATTATTTACATATAATTAATAAAACCTAAATCGGACAAAAAAACCTAGTTGTATAAGAGTAAAAAAAAAAAAAATAAAAGTTATAAAAACAACATAGTTGAGCAAAATAATTATTAATAAAAAATCTATGTTCTAAAACAATTTAATTTAAATAAACAATTTAAAATATTATCTTTTAATTCCAATTAGTTGCAATTAGTTTGTAATTATTTGGCAATATTTTGAAATGAATCGGACAAAGTATGGGGAAACTTCGTGTACATCACATTTTCGTCATATAAGCTATTTAAATTGTAATATTTTACTAAGAGATTTATTATTATTCTATATCTGATAGTTTTTTATTATTAGTAATATATAATATTTACATCTACTCATACAAAACATGTGCAAAATATCTGTACTAGTTTGCAGAACGTTCTACACTGCATGACATTTTTTTTTTGCTAAAAAAATTATATGTTATATAGTTCCATTCAATAATTATAGGAAAAATCATAAAAAAAAAAAAATATTTTTTTTTCCCGGTAAAACTAAGGGTTTAAGTGTATAATGCATATATGCACTTGCATGCAGTTACGATGCCTAATCGAAACCCGGTTGAATTACCTACATTTTCTTGTGAATGATACTATGGTACTATGATAAATATAAATATTATAACACAACGACAATATAATTATGATACTAATAATAGTTTATTTTACTTCTTATTACATATAACTAATTTTTTACATAGGTATATTTTGAATTTTTAATTTTTATGTTACCTAACTAAGAACAATGAAAATCAACAAAACAGTTTCTATCGTTATTGTAACATAAATATACACAACATTTGGAACATTTTGTGAACGACTGAAATTTGCATTTTGGCATTTTGCATACCCGTCTTTGCTGTTCATAGTTTGGCCAATGTTCTAGACAATCTCTTCTTATCTCGTTAAACGGCGCAGATGGTGTTTGTGTTCGTTTTTTTTAATATTTTCTTGTATTTCGAATGAACCTGAGGGCCTGCCTTTTCCTCGTTTGGCGATTCCACTTTGCATAAGAGTTACAGATAAATGTTCTCGGAATTTGGCCAATGGCATTGTGTTGCCCGTAATTTTTTTGTACATTAGCCATGAATTCACGACTGTCATATTTTATTAAGTGATAAAATATTTTTATGTACCATTTTTTTGATCTCATTATTATTCTGTACCGTCCTATCAATGAATCCATCAGATCTACACCGCCCATGTGCTTATTATAGACTTCGATAATTTTTGGCCTCTCAACGTCTACATTTTTTTTTTGTTTTTTATCGTATCTACGTACTTTGGTTGGTTCGAGGGCGCCAATGAAAGTGGAGGTAACATTTACAATTTTATTGTCTTTCCACGACACTGTTGTAGTAATTGGTACACCATCAACTACTGTTAAACATTCATCATATGTTCCTCGAGGTTTTTTAAGCATTTCTTTTTCAGGCATAAGCGCTATATCGGGAAATCTATTCCTCCTAAACGTCCCTACTGTGTGTATATACCTAATTTTTCTAAATACACCATAACTGGAATTGACGTATAATAATTGTCGAAGTATAGTTTATGGTGTTCATTTCTCGGTATCACTCTCGAAAGTCTAACTACGACATTACCTGTTGCACCTAAGTCAGGTTCAAGCATTTGCTGGCGTTCTAGAGAATTGTTTTCGTTACCCGTGTAAATTTCAAAATTGTAGGCGTAACCTTTTACTCCACAGAGAACAAATAATTTATAACCCCATTTATGAGGTTTAAGGGGTAAATATTGCTTCATATACGAACGCGCCTTTGTTGGGCACAACTGTTCATCTAGTGCTAGAAATTCGTCAAAAGGCACAGAAGAAAATTTTGCTTTTAGTAATTCAACAATCGGACGGATTTTGAACAGTCTATCACGGTCTTCGTGATTTGGAGGGAGGTCTAAATTATTATTATTGAAATGTAGAAATCTTTTATTCTTTCGAAATGATTTACGCTCATGCAGTTCTTTATAGGCATATTTCCTAAATTATCTGACCAATATGATCTCGAGTTTGGAACATGGTCAACAGACATCATAATAAGCATTCCAAGAAATCTTTGTAATTCAGTTTTTGAAAGGATAATTGGCTTTGAAGGGTCAACTTGCGTGCTGTACAATTCTGTTTGCTCAGTTATTATTGATAATAGACAGTCATCGAAAAAATAATTAAAAAAATCTTTAGGCGTTTCTAAATTTTTTAGTTCATGTGGCATTGGAAATTCAGTTTTAAATTTTATAACAGACTCATTTTGTGTAAAATTACCTTTTATCCATGTTGGTCGAACAACTCTTTTTTTAGTAGGTAAAATTGGATTTTTTACCTGTTTTTTAGCAGCATTTTTATCACAGCGAGTAATCCTTGTACGTTGAACGCGCATTATATTTGTAGATGTTTGTACAAAATTTACAATTTGCGACGACGACGGCGGTAATGGTGAAGTTTGAACTTGTACAGGACTTGTACCAGAAGTTGATTGATCGGAAACATTTTCATTTTCAACTAAAAAATATTCTGGAAGTGTAAAAACATCATTGTCTTCTTCTCTAACACGCACAACAACACGGTCTTCACGAGGAGTTACAGTTTCCTATACAAATTATGATTGCAAAAATGTGCGGTACAATATAAAATGTATATTTATTATTTACCTCATTTATATCTTCATCGTCACTTAGGTCAAAACCATCTGCATACTCGTCTTCACTTTCGATTGGTATATTTAAAAAAGTTTCGATTTCATAGTCGTTAAGATCCATATTAAAAAAAAATTAAAAAACCGCACAACAGTTACATACAATATTGTAAAAACAGACAACAGTAATATAAAATAATATGGTCGCAAGTAACAAAAGTTGCTGATACTACTAGCCAGTCAGGACCATTACTGCATAGTAATGCGAATATGCACGTCAAATATAAGTGATTATAATATATTGTTGACATGAAATACATTGTTTGTTTATGAAATGCCTCAATTACCATATGTCATAATATCTAAATATAATTTTTCCGATAAGCCGATACTATTTTTAACCGTGTAACAACACGTTCAACATTGGATGATAAAAAAAGATTTCTCATAAGTTTTCCTACCTTTATCAAAAAAAAAAAAATGTCCACAAATAAATCAAATAAAATTTTTATGAGCATTTTAAGTTCATATTTTTCCAAGATTGGATATTCACTCTATTTCTCTATTAGCAATTTTCTTATTTAAATGTAATTAAAAAACGAATAACTCTTGAATCTTGATACTTGAAATTTACATCATATTTATGTTTGTTTTATAAATTCCTATACTAGATAAAATTTTCAAAATATTTTGACTCTTTTTGAACTGTTTACGGACCTTCTCAGTTTTAAATTTTTTTAATTTTTTTTTCATTAACTGTCAATAAAATTGTATTTGTTGGGTAAACATGCGTGTAAAATTGAATACAAGGCTCCTGATATATTGCTACAATAGAAGTTGAAAAATATTAAAAATGCAATAAACAGTTTTTTTTTTATTAGCATTTAATTTTGGAATTTTGACAACATTTATCAAATTTATAATAATAATTACTTTGAAGTTAAAAATGTATAAAATGCTCAACTTTTTTATCTAAGGATTGTAAATTTAAAACAAATTTCCACATAAATAGGTAATATATAAATTAATGAATTCACAATAATATCCTCAAATAGACTTGGTAATATCATATTATGCTGACTGTCCGTCTTCTCTCAGAATCGTTTTTCTTATACAATGACATTATATCATTACATTCAAATTTAACACCATCCATACAGTGACCTTCTTGTAACCTCCTGTACTGCAGAGCGACACCCACTTGCCCACCTTTTTTTAAATTATAAACAACACATTATTATCATTGGACGATTTTGGTGTTTTCTTTAAATAGTTATACTGATTTCAACCATAATGCGGCTTTCATCGATGTTTTTCTCAAAAAATAATTATTATTTTATAAATAGATAAAAATTAATACATTTTACAATATTTGCTTTGATTATTTTTTTATCATGGGTAATCGATAAATTAATATACTGCATAAAACTATTGCGATATCACATGAGTTGTACATTTTTTTAAGGGTGATGAAACTTTTCATTTTTAAACAAGTGGGGAGGGGGGGGTGAGAGGGCATTAAAAAATGTGCAGCTAGGGAAGCAAAATCCTAAATACGCCACTGCTCATACAATACAAAAAGTCTTTACTATTATGCAGTAGACACCTTATTATTTGTTCTAATATTAATACTAAATTGGTAAAATATGTATTATTTTTTAAAACAGACGAGACAACGGATACAATATATTATTTTGGCAAGTATTTAGTACATCAGGAATACAACAGTTAATTCTACTATAGTTGTCCGCTAAAATATCATATATTTTTTATCAATATGGTTTTAGTATTATAATATCTATTTTTCCATTATGATAAGGTAGATAAAATATAATAAATAATAAATGTAGGCATATAATAAAGTATATGGTATTTCCGGCAATTACGGTATCAACTGTGAATACCGAATCACGGTGTGCTGGTATCAAAAATAACACCGTCCTTAGTTTAGACCAATATAATATTTGGAAGAAAATGGAAGTTTGTTTTTGTGGTACTTGAAAATGGAAAATGGATAGTGGGGAAAAAATGTATCTTATTTTTGAAAAAAAATATTCTCGCCCTTCATACAAACTGCTACATACTGAAAACCTGATTTACAAAAAATTCTAAAACCCAAACAATTTTGTTTGGGTTATCAAATATTATAATTTTTAATTAATGTGGTATAGATATCATAAAATAACATACAATTAAAAATTTATATACTTAAAAAGTATTTGTAAAAATAATTTCATATTAATTTATACTCTAAAGTAACCAACTTTTTATGATTTGTGATTTATCGTTCAGAGGTGAAAACAGATTTCTCAATGAGGATAAACTGTAGGTGGGTTCCCACACATTAACGAAATGAAAGAAATTAAATTTATAATTTTTTTTTAACCCCTCCCTGAGTCAACTAAATTAATTCCAAAATGTTTGTACAAAGGCTGCGTTTTTTCCGCTTTGGAAAATATGAATGAGGAAATTCCGCAACAATAGTGTTCGACCACACGATACGGAATTTCCGGATGTGAAATCAAAAATTTATTTATTTATATAATATAAATAGTAAATTTAATTGATTTAAATTCCAAAAATACTAAATACTATTATTATACGCTATCATGACAAACTTAGCACCAGTCAGTTCTGCTTACGAAAAGTACGGTCGATTTTTTTCACTATGAGTGCTCTTTTAAATATTATTTGCGCTGCGGAAGCATCCGGTGAACTAGACGAACCTACTTCACCAACTATATCAAGACAGTTTCGGGTATATCCACTCAACCAAAAAAGAGAGAAGGAGGATTTGCTTGAAAACTTTTACAGCTTAATTTGAACATTTCCTCAAAACATAACATCTTTTGATGAGTTATTGGAAACAATTTGTCCTCATTTAACAAAGCAGCAAACCAATATGATAAATCCAATATGCGTTGAGCAAAGACTTACAATTATTATAAGTAAGAAATTTTTTTTTTTTAATTATCGTTGATAATAATATGTAGGTACCTACTATGTACCTACCTCATATTATACATATCTAATATATTAGTAATAGGTAATTTATAAACACTCAGTAAATAATTAGAAGTAGGTAGTAATTTATTTGGAAAAAACTGAAAACTAGAAACAATATAATAAATTATAACAAATTACAAGATTTTTCATAATTTTTTCTTTGAATATCTGTAAAAATACTCTACAGGACTAAAACCAAACATTTTTATGAACGTTTGAAATTTAAACTTTTACGAAATCACGTATAACGATTTAGCCTCAAACGGTTTTTGATATTTATTTTTATTCAAAAAGTATAATACGTAGGAATTTGAAACTTCCACCACTTGTTTAAAGTGAAATTTTCTTCACATGATTTTTTTTTCATAATAATTCGTTGATTTTTCAGCTATTTATAGGCATTTTAAATATTCGATTTTTATTGATTTTTTTTATAAATGCCGTTTAAAAAATACTTGAAAATTTAATAGAAGATTTTACATAAGTAAATGAGTTATTAAAAAATGATCAAAATACATTAGCACAGTTTTTTTTTTTATAAGTGTTTGAATTTCAAATTTCGACAAAATGTATACCTATTACAATAAATTTAAATATAGGTAGTTTTGTAATATATCCTAGACTGACACATCATCTCCGTTCAGAATCGTTTTTCGAATACAATGATACTTATTATTGCATTTAAATTTAACACATCCATTATAGTGAGCTACTCTACGACCCCCTAATGTACAGCAGAGCGACATCCACTTACCCGCTTTTTTTTATATTGAAATGGCTTAAAAAAGTTTATGAAAAATAAGTTAATTTGCTGTTAAAAATGATAGAATCGATATTAGCTTATCAAAATCATCTACAATATTAATAAATAGGTATAATTCTGAAAAGTAGTATATTATAATTTAATTTTACTTTAATATAAATAAATATTAAATATTGTCAAAAAATACTGTTTTCAGGTATTTGTCGACCGGGACTTGTTTCAAAGCTCTACAATATGATTTTCACATTGGTAAAAGTACCATTGCAGAAATTGTTTGGGAGACCTATGTATATTTTTTTGGAAAATTCTACAGCCTAAAGGAATGCGAAAACCTACACCTGAACAATGGCTTGGAATAGCTGATAGATTTTATCAAAATACAAATTTTCCAAATTGCTTGTGTGCAATAGATGGCAAATACATACGATGTAGGAATCCCATAAGCTCGGGTTCATATTATTTTAACTACAAAAAATGTTTTTTCTATTATATTGATGGCTGTAGTTGATTCTAATCTCAGTTTTATTTGTATTGATGTTGGAGCTTAAGGTTCAGAAGGGAATCAGATTCTATTGTATTTAAACAATGCACATTTGGTAAAAAACTGTATGCTCAACAACTAAATATACCAAAACCAACATGCTTACCTAATACAGACAGTTCCCCATTACCATATGTGTTTTTGGCTGATAAGGCTTTTAGATTGCATTCAAATTTGTTGAGACCATATCCTGGATGAGATCTAAACGATAAACGGCGAGTATTTAACTACAGGCTCTCAAGAGCAAGAAGAACGGTTGAGTGTGCATTTGGAGTATTATCCAACAAATGGAGAGTATTACATACTTCTTTATTAGTGGAACCAGATTTTGCCGACGAAATAATAAAAGCTTGTTGCATTTTATATAATTATGTTCGCCAAAGGGACGGAGCTAGTTATGAATATATGGAATCAAATCTGTTCGTCTTTGACTTAGAAATTCTAGGAGCTCCAGCAAGAGAACAAGGGATAGAGGTTAGAGCCGCATATGTAGATTATTTTATGGGCCTAGGTTCAATACCATTCCAATATATTATATTTATTTAAAAATTGCAATTAAATAATAATATTTGGAATCAAAAATTGTTTATTTTTTTTTATATAACATGTAAGCTATAGGTTAGCTAAACATAAATGATGAAACATAGTAGGTATAATAGTAATTAGAAATTATTACTATAGTTAACCATTAGGTATTAATATTTAAATTTTTTTTGTTATACCTAAATTATTATATTTTTTTTAATAATTTTAATTGTTTATCCTAAATTATTTGTACCTAATCGACTTTTATATATTGGGTAATATTTTACCTATAATTATGTAATAGATAAGATTAAAAAAGGTTAATTAAATGTACTATTATTCTATTTTATTTTGTTTTTTTAAATAATAACTGTATTTTTATTAGATTAAGTACAATTAAGTTGTAGATTGTAACAACAATTAGTAGTGTATTATGTATAGGTACTCAAAAGTGATTGAGTAGGCAGCCAGGCAGGTATAGAAATAAAATTAAAATAATAATTTAATTACCAAAGTAAAAATGTTAAAGGATTAGGCATAATTGTTTTAACATACCTCTTTCATCTTTTTGTGATGACAAAAGCTCATTCCAATCGGCATACAAGGATTCAGAGACTGAATTCCAAGACAAGGTCCTTAAATTTTTGTCGCTGTACTCTTTTGACCCGACATCCCATAAGCATGGCCTCACTCAATTTCAATTATCATTTTTTCGTAATCAAACATTTTTTTAATTTTTTAGCACTATTCACCAATACAATTTAATTAAAATTTATCAGCACCATATGCGGAATACCGGACCGTGTGGACGGCTTAATTTAAAATAATGTTATTTTCATTTGTATCCGGTTTCAGCATACGACAATTCCGCAGCATGTTGCGGCAGGTCGCGGAAATTTCCGGGCATGCCGCGTCGTGTGAACGGTTGTATTTAAAACAATGTGTTTTCGTTTCAAACCCTGCTGCATGCGGAATCGCCGCATTCAATGCCTGCGGAAAAAATGTATCGTGTGGCCCAAGCCTTTTTTAACTCATTGAGATTAATCTGTAACGAATTGTAATTTCCTTTTTAAAATTTGCAACCTCAAGGTACCATGGTTACAGCTAGTTTATCAAAGAGTGGATAGTCCCTCCAACCGATTAAAACTATTTGAAAACCTTTTTCTTCATTAATAGATTAATAGACAGCCATTTGTAACCAAATTTTTAAAATTTGTAACCTTGTTGTACTAGAGTTACGACCATTTCCAAATGAGGGGACTAGCCCCTGTTGTAAAACAAATATGAAGGTCAACGTGTAAAATGTATGGTAGTCTTTCTGTCCACTATCTCCTCACTGTGATTTTAATTGTATTAGTAATGTGATGCCAACCTATTAAATACATTATATTTTTGAGATTTATTTTATATCATAAAATAATATCATAGTTAGTTAAATTATTAAAATTTATGTTTTTATTATCAAAAAAACATTTCTACCATAACTGTGGTTAAAATAGGTTCTAGTCAGTCCTAAGTGGCTACGTCTATTAATATAGGAAGGAAAAACGTTAGTTTATTGTAGTATTTACCGCAAAAATTCGGGACCCAACTCGTGTTTTGGTTATTATTTTATTCAATAACTTAGATGCATCCATAATAAGCTCCAATACTGGTGGTATGTAACTATTATTGAATCAAATATATGTACGTTGCATATACTATTATTAGTATTGTTTCGATAAAACCAATAACATTTCATTATTAATACTGGAAACAATACAAATTTGTTGATGAACATTTAGGTTAATATTCTATTATTTTCTGATATAATTAATATAATCAATGAAAAATCAAATAAAAAATTCAATAAATAAAATAGTTAGTGATCTTGATGATAATGTGTGTATCAATAAAATCATAAGAAGTCAATATGTCTAAACATAATATCATATAATTTATTAATATGTACCTATAGTATGTAATTCTGATGTAAATTTTTGTTTCTAAAAGTTACTTTTATGATGTTATGTTTATTTAATTATATCATATTTTTATTGTATAAGTATTTACTTTAAACGAATTGTAATATCGTTGAAATCCGTATACCAGATACGAGCTTGTAGTCCAGTTGGTATTCGTATCAGCTATTATTAATTTATTTTATTGTAATTATGTAAGTGAATACGTCTTACTTCTTTAGCGGCGTTGTGCACTTAATCATTTTTCTTTTGTAATGGGTAAAAAATAAACTCGCATCAGACGAATGCGTTCATTTCGACCATTATGCGAAAGAAAAATAAACATACTTCTAGAAGTCCGATTTCAATTTTGAAAACTAATTTTAATTCAATAACTTCTTTTCTGTGTTTTGTAGGAAAAACTTTTCCATTTTTTTTTTTAACTCGTTGAACCTTTAAAGTACAATAATTTCATTATGAGAAATTAAGTAAATTAATTTGAAACTGTATTACAAAAACCTTACAGAATATCGAAAATCTATTTCCTACAAAACATAGAAAATAAGTTATTGAATTCAAATTAGTTTTCAAAATTGAAATCGGACTTCTAGAAGTATGTTAATTTTTCTTTCGCTTTTGGCATTATTCAACCTCTTATTAAATCATAATCCTAAATTTTATGCTCATGCCATGAGCCAAAACTTCATTATATTGTCATCTTGTGAAATATCATTATTATCTACATTTTTCTGTAATGAAAAACTGCTTTCATTCAATTGTTAAATCTTAAAATTTTATATTATTATGTAATTTTCTACCATATTACCCGTATTTAAATTATTATTATTTGTCTTTATCATGTAAAATACAAAACCTCATGATTACTATTAATTCAATCTCTTATTATTTCATTATTAATTCAAATTAGTGTCCCCCGTTTATCCTCTATAGCATAAGAACCTATTATTTTAAATCTTTGACCACCAGGTGGTCACTGTGTGTGTAAAACCTATAAGTTCCACAGACCTGGCCTTAGGGCTTATACTCTGTGAGACTTATAGGTCATGAAATGAGTGTTCCCCTTGTTTCATGGGTAGTGGTCGGAAGGTAAAATTCCTGACTTTTTACATGAGTTACAAATATTTCGGAGTTAATTTAATTGTCTGTAGGACTAGCCACCCAATTGGAAATGGACAAATGATTACAAATTAAAAGGAAAATTATAAATAATTTTCCATCGATTTAATTAATGGACGGATGGGGGGGGGGGGCTGGATGGCTTGCGTGAAGTTGGACCCTCATTGAAAAACTAATTTTCACTTCTGAACGATGAAGTTACAAATTATAAAAAGTTAATTAGGTACAATAAGATACAAATTAATAAAATTGAGTTACAAATATTTTGGAAGTTTTTTGATGAAGTGGAGTGCTAACCTCACACCCGTCAATTAAAATGAATAAACATTAAAATATAATAAGTGTATTATGTATTTATAGCGAACAATATTTACAAAAATGCCATTAAATCATACAATCTCGGTAAGAACATTATTATGCATTTAATTTAACTGCTATCGATTTATGAAAACTAATTTTGTTTCACTGATTAAGTATCAATAGATTTCACTGATTCCAAATTTTGTAGAAATAAATAGTTAAAAAAAAGTATTTTTAAAGTGAAAAACACAAATAAAAGATTTTATGAAAAATACTGTCATAATATCTATTATCTACTATAGGGTTTTAAAATATCATGACATTTTTTTTTTTTTTTGAAATATTTCATTGATGTAAAAAATAAATGTATATTATATTATCTAAATATTTATAGTCATACATTTACATCGATAGAGCCTTTTTAAAGTTGGTTAAGATTTTATTTTATCAAATACTACTAAATAATTAATAAATTATAGCCAACCTAATTGTAAAGTGAATAATTAACCGATAATATTATAATACTTACATTTTATACCTGATTTATAAGTTATAACCTTTAACATATTCATTTTTTCGTAAACCTTGTTTCATAAGTCATTAAACATCTATATTTTTTGTGTTTAGTCCATAATCATTTCTTATCGGTTATAAGTTATAAAAAAACACAGTAGAAATCGGTTATAACGAGTTTCAGTAGCCAGCTAGTTTTTCTCGTTATATTCGGTAACTCGTTATATGTTGTTAGAACGGTTCCAGTCATGTTGGCTGCCACTAAAACTGTTATTCTGTCTTTGGAGAATTTTAAATTAATTTTAAGTATAAAAAAATGTGTTTTTCATAATTGTATTAAAATATTTCATGAAGAGTAGAATTGAAAATATAAAAATAAAGTGAAATATTTTTAGTTCAGTAAGCTATCAACTAACCAAAACGCACAGTTAAAGATAAACTATAGTAAATAACCAAACAAGTATTCCCTGATACCTAACCTATGTAGGCATGTAAAGTACAACGTACTTACAAAGAAAAATAATATGATCGTGCTAGATTTAATTTATAAGTGTAGATATAGAATACAAATATAACAACATTATTTTGGGTCAACCTTACAAAATTCAAAACAAACTCATAATTTATGCAATCATATTTCTACCACTTGGACATTATAATTTACCCTACTATAGCAATTTAAGAAAATAAAGGTGTTGAAATATAATATAATAATCATATTTCTATTTCTATATTGTTCATATTATATTAAGGAAATATTGTCATCATATTATTATAATTATTATTTTATGTAAGTCCATTTTCCAAAGGTTTTATAAAAAAATTCCTTAAAAGAATTATAGTTTCGTAAATCTTTGCCCCACTACCTACTCTGTATGTACAAAACTAAGTACAAAGCCACTTTTTAGTTTTCACTTAGCAGAAAAAAAATATTCATGTGAGTCTTAAGTAAAGGAAACTTTAAAAATATGTAATTATAATATAAACCCTAATTATCTTATTTTATTTTGTAGATTTAAAAGATGGAGAAGATAAAGTCAGTAAGTCCCTGGAATTATGTTAAAATATAGTATATAATAATAATTATATAACACATATTGACATATTATACTAGCTGATCCCGTGCTATGT